CCATGGTGAAATAAACAATCAAAAAGTGTTCGTACGTGGCGCATATGCTCATCTCCTGAGGAGCTCGCGATTAAAATGTTATCAAGGTAAGCGTAAGCGCAGTCTAAGCCGCGACAAACTTGGTCGATGAAGCGCTGGAAAGTGTGCCCAGCATTCTTTAGACCAAATGTCGTGCGCAGGAATTCGAACAAACTAAATAACATCGTCCCGGCAGTTTTAGCCATGTCCGTTTCAGCTGCCGGAGTTTGGTTGTATGCGCGTACCAAGTCAATATTGCTGAAGATATTTTTACCTACCAGGCTGGCGGTGAGATCCACGATGTGTGAGAACGGATAGCGCTCAGGCGTGGTAACCGTATTCAATGTTCGATAGTCGCCGCAAGGACGCAAGTCCCCCATGACCTTCTTCGGGACCATGTGGTGTGGTGACGTCCAAGGGCTGCTGGCCGGTGTGACGATACCGCTCTGAAGCGTGTGGTCGAACTCAGCTTGTGCTGCACGTAGTTTGTCTGGAGCTAGTCGTCTTGATCGCGCGCTGACTGGTTGACCGCGCGTGACTACGTGGTGAGCGAACTCTGGCGTGACTGGCGGAATCTCTGCAGCCGGCCGAACCAGTCATGGGTATTCGGAGAGGAGGCTCAAGTAGTCGGACGGTGCGCCTGCGATCAGAAATACTGGGCTGATTATCGGGACATCTGAAAGGACGTCATCAACACCTGGTTTTGTATGGTCATCTGAAATTGTATGGCTACCCGCGTCGACAAGCAATCAGAAATGGCGAAGAAAATCGATGCCAAAAATTGCGAAAGGTACTGATGCAACCGTGAAAACTCAATGAAAGTTTCCGCAGAGATTTAACTCTAGGTTCATCATGCGCTGACCGTATGAAACTGTCGCTGAGCCGTTCGCTGCCCGAAGATTGTACGTGGGCTTTGAATGATTGTCTTGTGCGCTGGCAGGGCTACCGCACAATTTGGCTCCTGTATCGATAAGGAAAATGACGCGGGAACGCTTATCCGTAAAACAGACATCCTCCTTTTTCGCGGCCGCACACGTTGGCCGCATTCACGTGCCGTCGAACTAGTTTCCATGTGCCACTGCACCACGCTTGACGTAAGGTGAATGGCAACATCGAGCATTGTCATCATACTAGCAATGATATCAACACAGATCATTCATTAAATTGCCATTTCGGGCTCGGCTGCGAGGAGGCGATGGACGGCGTCTGCGTGGTGATCTGGATCTGTACCGCGGAGGTCGGGGCTGATAGGCGCCGTGACAAATGACGACTATTTCGTGGTCGGCGCGCGGTCTCATAAATCTTTGTCTTTCTAACTGCATTGTTGCTAGTTCGCGGCGAAGCGCGGCTATCTCTTCGTCTCTCAGGTTTGCTTGCGCGGAGACTTTCGTACTCGAGTCTCTATCAGCTAAGATGGCGAAAACGTTACCGGATGCCTTGGTGTTCTGAGGGATTCCCTCAAATGCTGCGTCTACGGTTATGGCCAGCCCTTTGAGTGATCTATCTGGGTTCGCTACAAGTATTAACCGAAGAGGATCTGGTAGGCGAGAGTGCGGCAGTTCTTTTAAAGCTTCACCACTCATGTACGAAGGGCCAGCTATCTGTCGTATGTCGCGGAGCAAGGCTGAATGCTTGCGATCGCCTACCTTAGTGCCATTAATCAGTCGCTCCCATCCAGCACGAGCGCTGGGTTGCGACACTTTTAGGCTCAATTGCTTCAGCGCTTCGTATTTACCGACCTTCGATGGATGAAGCAGTGCGTTTTCAACCAGTGTCACCATGTATTGCGAGAGGTGTGGGAGGAGTTGACGGTATTTAGCTTCATTGGTAGAGATCCCTCTGTTTTCTAGCTCTAGCTCAACAATGTTAAACCATACCCTGGGCTTGTGTTACCATAAAATCCAGAATAGCCAAGGTGAGCAAATTCATGCTACCGCCCGACCCGGGTTTTACGTCGGCATCATGCATGGTATACGAGTAATACGAGTGGTTTAAAAACAAATGGACGGTAATTAATCCACTAAGGATTAGGGGAAAATCGACTAGAAAGGAACACACCGAAAACGGAATGACCAACAAATTGAAAATTCGCACGTGTGAACCTTGGTCACCAATTTGTAGAACTAGTCTATACTAGTCCGAGGGTGTCTTTGCTCTGGTGCGGATACCGGAAGAACGGACACAACTGATTGTATTCGAGAAAGGCTACAACCGAACGGAAAACGGTTGA